ACGCCCATGCATAAACACAAATGCAAACATGAGCATACATAAATTATTGTGGACGCACCACCCTTCAAATTCTTCGGAAAAGTTCTTTCTGCACTCCAGGGCATCGGTATCGCTGAAAGTGTTTGATCAGTAGCGTTATACGACGTCTTGGTGATAGCAGTGATCACGGTAGCATAATTGAAGTGCTTCATTTTTGAGGTGACTCCTGACGTATGTTACCAATACTTTTGCAAAAAAAGTTATCATGGCGAAACGCTAACCAATACTTTCACTTTACGTCCATCCATCTACACATTTCGAGGAACTGTCAGGCGCTCGTTAACGTTTAGCTATGAAGCGTAGAAACTTGGACAAGTTGGTAAGACAAGACTGAATATACAAACATCAATCCTTAGTGCTGGCCTGTTCTCACCGAGAAGTGGTAAACCCATTCCACCTTTCCACTGAGCTCACTCATAATTGATGAAAAGGGGTATCATTAACGTTTGCCTTGTTAACGCTCTTAGCAGGTCGCGCGTGCGCTCCATGCAACGAGGTTTCAAAGCGCCAAGTCGAGCGCCTTCAAAGTGCTGGTTACTCGAACGCCCCGATTTCTGCTGTCGCTGGAAAAGCCATTGAAACAAGTAAGAAAATGTAAGGAGAGTAATCTCAGCCTCAAAATGCGTCAGTTCCTGAGAACTGTATTGCTGTACCTAATCATCTGCACAACGTTTCGCATGGGCCTCAATAACTCGAAAAACTGCGCTGGTATCACTGTTGTATGTCCCGCGCCGGAAAAGCCATCAAAGTTCGTAAGTTGGTGAATCATCCAGCTAAAAATAGAGTAAGGAAGAGTTCTGTGAAACCCAGAACGCGCTTTGTTCCTTGTGCTATTGGTGTCATGTATCTTCTTCTGCTATCCTGTGGTAAGATATACAATGTGCAAACCGGAAGGGGCTTGAATGACCGTTTGAGAGTGCATAATAATAACATGCACAATGCAGTTCAAGGACATCTTAAAATTCATGCCGAAACTGTGGCTGTGTGCCCCTCTTTGAGCCTTGCGAGGTAACTGGCAAGCAGCACTCGTAGGCCACGCGAGAGATAATTGAAGCCAGTCACATAAGTAAGTTGGACGGTACATGTGTAAGTTCTCCATGAGTAGCGCTATTGCAAAAGTAGGTTGCGTATTTTGAGCATATCTAAGCTCTGTATTTGTTTCCAGCTCAATCAGCAAGTGACCAGGGTTTCGCTGACATTGTATCGCAGTGCTTGTTAGCTGAGCTGTTAAAGGCATGCCCATAGTCTTTTTTCACCTATATCTGTACACCACTCCACGATCAAATCGATCTTGAAAGTCAGCGCTAATTCTATCCTTGTTTATTGCTTTCGTATTTACGTTGTAATTACTTATAAGTTGCGCTGCTCATGTATTCAGCAACGTTTAGTTCCCGAACACCTTATAGTGACGCCTAAAGCTATGTTCACACTACGGTCGTAAGGCGTCGATTTTTCATAACACGCGTAAGCGGAAGCACAACAAGCGTATGCGTCTAGTTCAGACTGTGAACGTAAAGGTACCAACGTTCGCAACGAACGCATATATCGTGGGTGAGAGTGTTAAAAGGCTAGGCAACTTTTACGACTGCGATACTACGACCGTTACGACACAGCCAATGACCGATCTGCTTTCGGTTTTCAACAACCGGTCACGAGACCTGACGGGACTTCCGTCCTCCCGGCTGCAGCAGCATCGCGGAGGTGATGGCGGTAGCTGCCGGCGCGGGAAGTGCTACTTCGCCATTCCGCGGTGACGAGTGGGTTGGCTTTGTTTGCTCGCAACGTGCGTAAAAAGTTGTTCCGCGCTGCCTGCCGTACTGTCTTCATTTGGTGTGGTTTAGTCGTTGGACATTTCTGGGAAGTGAAAAGTGTGCGCAATGGATTCGCTTGCTTGCGACAATTTATTAATAGAAGAAGTGCGCCGGCGACCGTTGCTGTACGACCAGCGTTTGAAGACGTACCGGTATAAACAACTTCAGCGAGATGCATGGGAGCAGGTGTCCAGAGTACTCGATGAAACATCGCAGCGTCTCCAAGTCGGAGCTTGACGAGAAGGTTGTGAAAGTCGCCATCCACGGCCTTGTCGAGGAATACTTGGCGCACCCAAACTCTTCTCTGTCGCCTTCGCCGTCTTCGGGCGATTGAATACACGACTATAAGCTCATTTTGAGCGTGAATTTCTTCCAACTCGGCCAGCGCTCGCGTGTTGATGGGAGCCATATTGGACCGCTAGTGACGTCGATTCTACAGCGACAAATATGATTGGCCTATCGTAAAAATCGTAATGTACGTAGCTGTAAATGTGAACAAAGGTATCGGCATAACTGCGGTAACGCTTTTTATAGCCGTTGCGTTCGATACGCCGATCGAGCTGTCACGCAAGTTACGACTATAGTGTGAACATAGCATAACTTAGACGCGTTCGGAACAGATGTAAACCAGACTGCTCACCCAAATGAACCGTAGTGCGCATGGTCCGATCAGGGTACAGCCGGAGCTTAGTCAGTTCTGTGCTGTTGGACACAGCTGACCCTGGCAGGTGCGACACCATGGAGTGGCTGCAGGCCGATACTTTGAAGAGGTGGATGACTCCCATTACCTCAATTACTGGTAATTTTTCACCTAATGCACCAAAAGACAGGCGATTTTGAATGTACAGCCGTCAGCACCTTCAACACAAACGCTCCGCCGCGTGTCCTGCAGAAGTTTGATTGACGCCGACACCACGCACGTTTGGGTCCTGTTGCCAAGATGCTAAGCATACATGCCGACATACTGTCCAAGCATACCGAGGTATTATCTCGGCAAAAGCGCCCAGCTATTCGCGGCTGGCATCAATCAAACTAGACCTGTCCACGCATCGAAGTGTTCGTGCTAAAGGTGCTGATGGCTGTACACCCGTCTGCCAAATAAGTCGAGGCACGGCCGTAATCTGATAAAACTGCATCGCCGCGCCACCTGACGTGGTAAATGCTCCATGGGCGTTCTTTCATGTTCACATCCTTATATTTAGTACTGCTTAGCGCCGGACCAAGTCATTACATGTAACGTTGTGCATCAGGCGTCACTTTCCTTCTCTGATGCGTGACGTGCTCATTTCGGCACAGGGACGGTGGCGGTGAAATGTACGTGGCTCGCTTCACACACCACGCAGGGCAGCGTTTAACACACACGCTACTTTTAAAAGCTGCTTCGGCAGAAATCCCAGTGTTGGTGTCAACGTAAGCGTAGGCATCAACACTGAAATCTTTTTTTTGTTCCTATGTGTATCGACCTCAGTTCTATTCACTCTATCAGACTTTGGTGTAACAAACCCAACGTTCAACTTTGATGGACTTCAGATGGTTAGCGCAAGCAGTGGGAGTGTGTAGCGCAGAGTAAATTTATTTGTTTGACAGCACTCGGCAACTGAAATGCTCCCTAATCGTATGCGGCCTGATGTGACAGCATCTAACGAATTTGTACTTGAATCTTGCATCACCTAATTTTGCATCATAACTTCGAATATGTCGATTTACAAGCGCTGGTTGCAAATTAGGCAACAAATGAAGCGAAGTAAAATTTCGCAAGTCAAGCAATACGACTGGGACTGTGTAAAATTATGCTATCCACATGACAGCCTGATCATTGACAGCTTTTAACATTGATATACCATTGCCTAAACGTGAATAAGTGTTCTTATTTTGCACGTGCTCCATATATTCGAAAGTTCCAGAAGCTCGGATGATAAACTTTATAATCAAACAAAATTGAAGAAAAACAATTATGAATTTACCTGCCCATTATAACAAGCTCATTTTGCAATTAAAGTGCTAACGCTCCTGTTCACAGTGTGTAGCTTATCAAAAGACGTGTATGCGCACGAACAGCACAAAAGCTCATTAAAAATTACATGGTATATTTTGTAACTTCCAACGCTAACGGCCTATTGTGAATGCTGCTACAGATGTGCTCACTGCTTCCAACTTGATGTTTCAATTATCTGCAAATATAGCGCTGTGCACGACCACTTATGGTAATGCAGCCATCGTGTCTAAGCAGCCCGTGATCCATGCATCAAGTAACAAAGAAACATAGCAACATAGCAGCTGTCACTCACTTTGAAACGAATCAGTCATTTGGTCCAAACCGTCGGGCTCATACTATCTTTCTACGATGAGAGATTATATGCCATTTATTTAGCTGCCTTACAGACTTACATAAAGAAAGTCCGTACCTAATAACTAGCTACGTTACTTCAATTGGTCATAACACAAACTCAGGACCAACAGGGGAATTTCTGCTGTTGCATGGTGCGTGTATCCATGATCAAAACAGCCAAACTTGTCTTTGTGAGTTTTAAGCAAGAAATGAGGGAAGTGTGTGTGGTAGTGATTTCGATATTATTTTGTAAGTGAATCGATACCAAAGGAGGCATAGGTAATATTGATAACGTCTGAAAGTTTTACGTCCACAAACCCAGGTGTAATTATGAGAGACGCATTAGTGAGGGGCTCTGCAAACTGCGATGACCTGGTGTTCACCAATATGGATTGACATCGAGCAGTATATGCGCAGTATGCTGGTATGGTGTCTCACCTCCAATTTATGTGTCACTGCTGCACTCGTGATACAGCCCACCACTTTCGGGTTAGCAGGGCACAGGGCTTCTTTATTCGTGAGCTGCTCGGTGTGCAAAGGTTGTATTTCTGGCAAAATAAGTAATTAAGGAAGAAACAAATACCAGTAGCTTCCTTCTCGTTGTTCCGAAACTTCACTTGCTCTCACATACATAGGCACGAAGGAGGATTTCTTCAAAAGAAATATATTGCACATATAAAATTGGAAATTTTTCGTAGAGCTTCTACATTTATGCATACTCAGTGCATGCAGATCAGTCGTGCAAAGTGCCAAAAAGAGCTGAATTGCCACACTGCTCAGCAAAATAAACGAGTACAGCAGGAATGCAGTACCACTGGTGTTTAACGGTTTATTCAGTTAAGTCCATCCAAAAGTCAGTACAACTCGGCGTGTCAACGCAGCTGCATCATCCAGAGCTTCAATGTTGGAAGGATGAGCGGCCACTACATCCCAAGCACAGGCCTAAAAAGTAAAGAATAGGACGAAGCCTTAGTCTAAGCGTAATATATGTTCTGCGAAGTCATCTGGATATCTTTTTTTCTTATCGACACGTTTCCAGAAACCAAGGTAGAGAAACATACCAAGGCATTCGCGGCAACTTCCCTGTGTTCTTTCGTTAAATTGAGACGTGTGTAATGGGGCGAGCTCTGTGGGCAGAGAAATAATGTTTCTACTATAAGTGCTGCGCAAACCAAAACAAGAGCGAGCTAGTATACACAAACACGCTGCCAAGTTTCAAACCGCACCTCATTTTATGAGGGCTACAATTTCGTCATTATTGTCTTCACGCACTAATTTTATTAAGGAAAAGTTTTAACAGGTTGTTTAAGGAAGTGGGTCCGAGAAGAAAAAAAAACGAAATAGTTACTCCTGTTTCCGTAACAACGTATTTTTGTAATGGCAATTATCTCAGATGACTAGACAGAGCACTTACGTGTGCAAATCAAAACAGGTTGTTTTTCATTAGCACTGACGGACAGTAGGTTAAATGGGAATATTTTTGCGAAGAGGTAATTGCCCCTAATAGACTTCAGAAAATCAACCTCTGGTGTGTAGTGCAGAGCAATGAGATTTATCCAAATTGACTGGCCAAGCAGAAACGAAATTTTGCATAAGAGCAACTACGAGACCACCTGAATGACGTCCCTGGTCGCGACAATGACTGCAGTGGTATCAGTCTATCTGCATTTGCGTACACGCGTCACAGGGACTGTAATCTGAAACTTAAGTTGTACAACCACGAAACTACATCAAGTGATGGCCACTGCAATCATGCTTGCTAACTCAGAAAGTTTCGGGAGAGTAAGACAATTGTGCTTTTCTAAGCTTTCACTTCTGTGTAATGGACAAAATTGGTAATGGACGAAATTGGTAAGATTCGATTATCCGTTAAGAAATACCAGAGACAACAGTTTTTTTTACGGGAAAGGCTGCAATTTTACCATTTTACCTGATCGCCTGTCTCCAGTAATTAAGAAGTTGTCTAGCTGAATTAAATTAACCGAAAAAAAAAGCAACTATGCAGGCAGCGTGAATATACTTTTGTCCCTACTTTTGAGAAATTTTATGCACATTTATTGAGACCCTCAGTAAATTAGCGCTGCCTGTACGTCTGTGGTAATTTATCATGCATTTAAATGTATGTTATAAAATGACAGCTCTACTTACCTCGTTACGAACCGGTTGTAAGATACAGTCGTATGACTGAAAAAAAAGAAACACTGCTTTAATTTTGAAGTTGTACTATGACGTCACATATTCATTCTAATTACTGAAGAAATGGCCTTTTTAAGCTGCTCATTTTAGTCATTATTATGTGATAAGCCACTTAAAAACAACCATTATTAGCTACGAATATACGTTTTAGCTAAGAAATGTGGAACATTGAGAATGATTTGTTTCGATGTCAGGATGACGTTTTCAAAAAAAAAAAGGAATTTTTCACCAAACTAGTGCAGGCACATGAGCATTACATGTCTTTTAGTGTGCCGTTGCGCAGCTTCTGAGTTTGCATTTGGACTGGTTGGGTGTGTTAATCGGGAGATTTATGTCGCCGCACCAGCTCGATTCGCACACCTCGCACAGTCCTAAGATGCTACCCCACCAGGTTGCGCAAAATCCCTGTATTAGAGTTGTTAAACAATCCCAGACAGTGGGCGGTAGTCACGGATAATTCAGGCCCTCGTGGGTCAAGTAAGAGAAGAATTTAAGAGCCCTTAAACAGGATGGTTCTTTGTACACATTGTGCGCAAACGTCACGATTCAAAATAAAACATTTACCGTATATTAATATGGGTCATGTCGCTGAATATCCAAAATATAGGGCAACGGATCAATAAGACACAAGAAGGGCGCACACACACCGAAGCGTTGTCTTTCAAGAGTGAATTGTATTCCTTTTTCTGGACGAATACATACAGAAACAAGAGCGACTGTAGAAGATCACTTCGTACAATCTCGTTTGTATTTTTTTCTTGGTTTTCTTAATCCATTAGTCCTTTTTTGTTCACGTTTTTTGTATGTTTTCTTCCACAAGTGGGCATAAAATTCATTGTTCACAGTTAGTGCTTAGGCGTGTGTGTACCTTTGTTGTGTCTGATAGGTTATTTGAGCGATATTGTCTACAGTCGTGCTTTACCAACACGCGCTGTCTTCAACCTTAGGGTCATTTCAATGCGAAAGTTGGGGCTAGAATATCATTCAACAACATGTTGACACTGACCTTGATATTGAGCGAAATGTGGACGCCGATTCTGATATAGTGTTCTAAAGACGATAGTTTTTCGTGGTATACTTCGACGCTGAAATTCTGTTCTATCTGTCTGGTTGTTTCTCTTTCGATTGCTTCAGCCACCCGAGCGTAAATTTGACCCCTTGCTGAACGCCCACCAACCTTGATCTCTCTGCTGCGTTTATACTATTGGATACTCTAAATCAGAAACAAATATTGCGCATGCTCGGGTGCCACATCATTAAGTAGGTATCAGGTAGTGCGCGTTCTAGATATTGCAGAGTTACGTAATTTTAAAGACCGCAGAGTTTACAAAGCTGCGCTGACAAAGCAACGCCATGAGAGAAAAAGAGGGTGCTTTTTTCACTTCACTAAAACCACATGGTGCTTTCACCTACCAGTTTTAATGTGTTCAAAAACAACTTTTCTTTCTCTGAACTACTGCCACATGGTGTTCACATATCTGACAGTGAACACAGCGCCTCCACACAGAAGGCTAACGTCTTTCGGCGTCCTTTGAAGAAAAGGATGCTGATACGGTGCGGATTTTTCGTTTCATAGTTCCGCTTCAACTGGCGGTGACTATATGCGGCGCCTCTTGCAAAGTGTGCTTTGTCTACCAGTCACTTCTGTCTTGCTCACGGACGCACTTGTTTATTATGAAAATATCAAACGATTGTGGGAACAACACACCGTCGTGCGGGCCACGGACCGCAAGCAAGAAGCTCGTGGGATCGTATGTTTGAGACTTCTACCCAATACTTTTTATGAGACGCGCTCTCAGATTGTGATGTGCTATAGTAGCACCGCTTCCACTATTAGCAGCTTAGCTGCTTTGTATCTTTTTAAAAACAGTTACCAAACAAAATATTCATCTTCAGTTTAGAATCGCATTGAAGGGGCGACGACTTGTAAAAGGCGTCGCACAACAGCGCCCCTGTGGTGCACGTTGTTTTTACAGTTATCCTCCCTCAGTGCGACGCTAGTATCAAGATGGATTCGTAGCAACTTGCACTAGTTTCTATTCTCATGGAGCAAAACGTTCGTCTCATGACGTCGCCGATGAGGTTAGCTAAACCAGGAAAAGTGTGTCACGCGAGAAGATGAGGGTTGCTGCGAAGGCCCTCCTCGGCCTTGTTCGCATGGACGCGCAACGTGTTCACGCTTTCTTGCAGGTACTGTGGCTGCTAGGGTGACGCGGCAATTCCTGAAGCTTAGCTAACTGATTTTGTTTTGTTCGCGTGCTGTGAAAAGAACAGGTTGAATCTGACCGATTTTTTTTCTCAATAAGATTAAATTATATCAGCAAACGTAAACGTAAGGTCTTCTTTTATATATGTGATTATTACTAGGAAAGAAGACACATACGTTGTGTGAAGTCGACATGTAACGTTAACTTTAATTGACAAATGGAATATGCAAATAATGAGAAAACTTTAATCCAAGAAAAGAATACCTGAGCTCATGTGAAACTTAGTAAGAATCAAGAGCAGGTCATGCTGCACTTTACACAATCACGCCTGTTATGACACTTAACATAATTTTTTCAGATCTTTAGTACCAAACAAAACAGATTTTCAAAGAAAAATGAAAGTCTCGATGCAAAAAAAATTGTTGAACAGCGAACACCTTTGAAACAATGTTCTGGCTATTTTCTTGTTTTCTTCAAGGCATTAAAGAAGAAAGATCCGCTTGTGAAAATGTTGGCCTCTGTGACATTTTCTCTTTAACAATTTCTCAAAGCATCAGAAGTCCATCAGATCTATTCCATTGCCAGTATGAGAAGCGAATAGCCACACAGTGTCAAATGGGCCATATGAACCTATAATAATAGAGAAGAGGCTACAACGACTTACCATCATTTAGTACAAGCCATAAGTAAAAATTAAAAACAAAACTGTAGCGCTGTCAACACACAATCGAGTCTCTCATGAAACTTATTTTGTAGACAACAGGTAGACTCTCGTCATTTCAAGTGTGTCTAGCGACACTGCGCTGTACAGTCATGCTTGCAGAAAAGTAGGTTCACCCACCTACTCACGAGAAGTAAATAACTACTGATTTGACATGTGGGGTTTAACGTCCCAAAACCACCATATGATTATGAGAGACACCGTAGTGGAGGGCTCCGGAAATTTCGACCACCTGGTGTTCTTTACCGTGCACCCAAATCTGAGCACACGGGCCTACAAAGAGTAAATAACTACTCAAATAATGGACCCAAGTACTTCTGCTGAATCGTTCTACCCTGGAAATCTCAAATATTCCGCGGAACATTAAATCCCTCGGTTATCACATCACAGCACCAGTCAAAAAATACGATGCACAGATTTAGCCACTTTCGTATAATCTATCGTTAACCTGCTCGACGTGGCTCACTGCAGCTTCCGTTTTGTGCCCACCGCATATTGTGCCTTATATTTCTCGTATTGAAACTTGGCATGCTAAGCTAACTTATGAGGCAATCGACTGCGATCAATTGACTTGTGACATCACTAAGCTAGTGGCAATGAGGAGCCGAGACAAGCGATACACACACGTCTTCAGCACTTCGCCTGAGTTATAGTTGAGAAGCTTAGAAATAAGAGCAAATGATCCACAAGGTATATGTTTTTTAAAGTACCATTCGATTTGTAAAAACTGGTGAAATACAATAGGTGCGCACATCCACAAAGCCTCAATTCCTTCAGACAGATCTTATTATGTCCGGCAACCACTACCAGCGCACATGTTCCTTGAAACCCCAACTGACGCCTAGTATCCATGGCCACTTCGCCTTTCACTGGTATTGAATTGGTGCTGAGTTGGCGCTGAGTGAAACGTCACCACGAGCAACATGTTGTTGCCTCCCGACATGACACTGATGTGAATCATTGTCAAGCTATAAGGAATTACCATTGCTTCCAATTTAATGGCTCCCATCACGCAACATCGCTTACATCACGCAACAGGCAAAGCGTAAAGGCTAGCACTGCCCGGGCAACAATCATCATCATTGCTTTCAAGGCATATTTCTGGCGTATATATGCCTTTTACTAGGAAATGTTGCACACAGAGCGATGGTATCTCTCTCACGATAGGGCTTGATAAAATATCCCTTGGTATGTGGCGTATTATATGAAAGAATGCAAATTCCTGAAATACTGCGTATCTCCATAATTCGATGAAGTGTTCTGTTCCAGACTTGTTGTAGTTAGATGGGTTGTATTTTGGTGGCTGCGTAATGTTTATTTTATTTTCTGGAGTATGTCCGAATATACTACTTGAAACAGCTTACCTGCCTCAGAGTGTCCTTCTGTATCAGGGATTTGCATGTGTTGTATATAGAGCAGCCAAGCCCCAAAACCTGTGAGGAAAGATAAAAAAAACTATCTTCAACGTCATGGAAAAAAAATTTGTCAGTCAAGCAAAGCAAGGACAATCTTCTCAAGAGGACCTTTTTTCCCTGTTTACTTTTTTGCACTGTCTCACTGTACACTTTTTTATGATATTTGAGCTTGAGTGGCTTTCTCTTCGAAATCATTCCTGATATATCACAGTCTACAGCGTTTAACGCTACCTATGTAACGCGGATATCGCCTCAGAGTCCTTCTATGAGCTATTAATCTTGCACCAGCTATCAAGAATGACGTCACAGGATGCTTTACCAATCACTGCACGAACCGAGTTTCGCAAAGCCTGCAAAGAAATACTTCATTGTTGTAGAAGCGAAGCACCTGTTTGGCTACCCTGTGTAACGCTGTCTCTCCACAGGTGTTGGCGCGGTGTCAAGTACGTCGCGCCACTGCTCCGCATAAATGTCACGCTCCTCTCGCAATGCACGCTGACGTCACTCTCTCCCTCGCCTGCTGCACGCTCGCTATGGCGCCCGCAACTACCACCTCGTCTGTTCACCCACCACACCTGCCGGGCCGCCCCTCGCTACACCGCTGACTCGTCGGTTCACGCGCAATGAACGTGACGCGCGCCTAACCTACGCATTGAAACATGCCTGTACGTGTCACCTAGAAGACCTAAGCCAGCCATCGCTTCAAACGAATCATACAGCACTCACCGCAGCACCTTTGTTAGCGCCGTTCAAACTGTGACTCACCCGTAGGCAACCCTACTGCTTTGCATTCCACCAGCCTTCCCTTTGTGAAGATGGTTTATTTTTTGTTTTTCTCTAATAACGCATTGTTGGTCGAGTGATGTAGAATTTATGATCTATTTTTGTATTTCATATGCTGCACCGTACAAGAGTGTATTTGTGACTCGTAATTTTGGAAAAGCTTTCAGCTGCCTTGGAAAATAGTGTAAATAAATGCAAAGTTGCGTTAATGCAATAGCTGTGAAAATAGTGTAGTGTGATGTGTGATAATATTGTGTTGCGTAGAGACCAGATTTTAGGCAAATGCCGGTTTCACCGCTTATGTTCCTATCGAGCCAACTTTGTCTAAAAACCTATGTTGTGGATTAGGCACTTCTATTTCATTTCGATTCAATTCTGGGGAATTAAACTTGCCGTAATCGCGTTGTTTTCAACTTATCGGAAAAAAAGAAACTTCGCTCATTCACACTCCAGAAATGGTCCGGCAGAATAATTCAAATCCTACAATTTGTCAACGTTGATAAGCTTTTGTGAGGGAGGCTTATATCACTTAAATTTTGTTTGTGGTGTCCGCGTTCATGTTTGCGGCGATGGTCATGCGTCGAAACCAGTGTTGTCTGTCAGCGCAAAACTGCGGAGGGTGAAGAGCGAAACAAAAACAATCGGTATAACACCAAAGTGAAAGGTGTCCTTGCAGAAGTACTTGAGCGTTCATTGTGCATTGTTTCACCACAGGAATAACTGCTACAGCAACTAAATGCAATGTCAAGCGAAGAATGGCAAGCAGCTCAAAACTTGCAGCGTACACCTCAAGCAGAAAATACGCACGAAATGAGCACACAAGACAAGCGCGGACAAACAATTATCACAGCTCGACAACTGAAGCACGCTGCTCAAAGAGAACGAAAGACGTACAAAATTACCATAGAGGTATGCGCAGGAAAAGTGTGAACCACTGTCACAATTGTTACTTCGTGTGAGACCAGCGTGCTTCCTTCGTAAGCAACGACGCGGCAGCCAGCGAAGAGACGTTCGAGCTCTCGTTAACTACTATAACTTGTGGTGGAAGCGAAAGAGGCACACAGCGCCGAATCGGAAGATAAGTGCACTAAAGCACGAGTGAGTGAGCCAGCACGCCATCGAACATCTATACGCCATTTGAGCAGCCGTGTGGAGCCGCGCGGTGCGCGGAGTGGCACAGCACAAAGAGCTTGCACGATCCGAAAGCGCGCCCGTCGTGCCACCTCGCTACTGATGACTAAAACGTGCTGATGTTGCTGAGCTACGAGAACAACCAGTGCTAGACGATGTATACAAGCTTTTCGCCGTTAATCACTTCGTGAAGGATCACTATGTGGCCTTGTGGTTAGCGTCGCGTGCAGAAGAACGCGAGGTCACTGGTTCGACCCCCTCTGTGAAGCTTTCTACTCGTCTTTTTTTCCCTTTTCAATCTGTTAGTATATATTGTACAACGTCATATACGTGACGGAAATCCGCCAGAGAAGGCTTGGTCGACCCTGGTGTGAAACACCATCGTGTTAAAAAACAAAAAAAAAACAGGAAAACCTAACTGGGGCGCTGCTCGTTGCAGGCATATCTACAAGAACCTACATTCCTGTGATTTACTGTGCCAGAAATTTATTTATATCAAGAAGTAATATATTGTGAGGAGTCAATATAACAAATATAATAATCGCTGGTATAAACATGGAATCGTTCATACAACGTGTTATCTTAACTGCGTAAAGAGTGATTGATTGAAGGCGTTCGTGTTTGTTGAAATACATATAGTGAGCAGCTGGAAAAGTATTTATGTATTCCTCAGTACGTATATTGCAAAAACAACTTGGGAAAGTTCGAAATCACCAATGCTGCGCGCACGGCAGCTCATTTCATAGTGGCGCTGTATAGATGTGCATAGAGAATCAAATTGAGACAATAGATTGAGGACGGTGCCGGATTAGTCTGTTGGGTCTCACTCCTCAACCATATGCTTAAACGAGCTCCAGGTTTTTTCAACTTTATGAATTTTGAAAGAATGATCACAATAATTCTGTCTTTCATTAACTGTTGTCTGTGTGTAAGTAGTAAAGGGAATCGAGAAACATTTTCCAAGGTGAGAAAACCACTAAAATGCGCATAATACAACTATTTGACGCAAAAGTAAAACTGTAGTGCTTTATATACTTACTGTCGCCATTTTGTCAGATGGTATTGTTTTAGCGTAGGCAACAAGTTCCTTCTTACATGCCCGCATAATGTCTCCAAAAAGAGCTTTTGCGTGAAATAGGCGAGGTCCCATACCTGTCACAATGAAAATTTTATGTACTTTTTGGCCATATTAGAAAGCGCGCATGGAAATCTAGATTAGCAGCCTCATAACAAATGTACACTTGAATGACCGTTTGCCGCTTTTGTAACTGGTATTTGTTCTTCATGAAAAAGTGCCGGCAAGTGTATACAGATGCCGGCACAATACTATCTTATACGAATTCTTGAAGTTTCACAAGCTTACTATCAAGCTAAACAGGAGGCCACATCTTATCAGCTTCCGTACCTCTGATATATCACGTTCTTTTGGGCTTCCAATCATATCTAACTCGTTACTCTGAACGCAGAGTCGTTACGCTAGAAGCCTGTGTCTGTGCGCCTATGGCCGCCACTTTGAATACGGCGGCGAGGAAATAAAGGGTAGATATAGTAAAGTACATGCGACAGTGGCGTAGCCAGGAGCTGGTTCACCAAGACCGGGCCTCCCCACCCTGAAAACTTTCTTTTGCCTTGGAATACATAGCAAAAAATGACCATTTCAAGGGCGCTGCCCAGCGTAATCAAGGACGTCCCCACCCCCCTTCATGAAAGTTTCTGCCTACGCTCCTGATGATCGCGCAACGTCAAAAAAACAAATCAAGTTAAATTTCATTTGGTTCGACAGATAAATGCAAGGCATGCGATTCCCGGGCAACCCTGCAGAATATGCTATGGGAGTGCTCGAGTCTCAATGACGCAGTCAGCAGTACAAACGAGGAGGCAGTCTCGAACCGCAGGGTGCGCTGGGAGGCGGCTCTGCTCAGCTCCGCATTAGAACAACAACTATTGGCCGTCCAGGGAGCCGAGGAAGCCGCCCGAGCCCAAGGGCTCGCGGCCGATGCCTAGGCCGGGGTTCAAGCCCGCCCCAATTTATCATCACCGAACAGTTAATAAATGTTGTTTCTTTCTCTCTCTCAAATGAAATTTTATTCCAACATACGTAAAAAGAATGTTGAGGACAGTTAATTGCGAATCCCAAAGATTTTATGTAGTCAATGGCCTTATTCCTGACACGTCAGCAAAAGAACCCATTTTAAAACCAGTTTAACCGTATAAGATTAAAATAATGAGATATTCATACTAGTAACATTCCACGTACTCAAGTATACAGACCTAAGTTCACCACACATCATTTACACGCTCAAAAAACTCAAAAGCAAGCAAACAAACGCAGGAAAAAACGAATCTTGAGCTGTAGAAGTTAGGCACTTGTAGTTACGTGTTTATTTTATTGCAGTTCTGTTTCAGTATGAGATGTGCCAATAGTGGACACAAGCCAGTCTAGGAATAAATAGTTACGATTATTCAAAGGTTGGCCGCTAGGGGGCTGAGCCACTCGGACGCCTCTCGAATAGGCTCTGCCAGTTTTTCACTTTCGCGGCTGAATAAGGACAACCGCGGGATTCAAGACCATCACAGCTGTCGCCAGACGATCACCCGATTCGTCCGATGCCAGGATATACCAGGTGGGCCTACTTTTTTTGAGCCATGACACTTCTTTTGAGTTCCCACAACGGCGTCGCCCTAGCTACGCCATCGCAGTGCCGACGCAGTGCCATCGACGCGCTGGCAACTAGGCGACAAGCCAGGCCCCCGGCTTGTTCGAAGCCTGCGAAATGGATGTTGTGGAAGTTGAGGGGGAGACGCTGTCTCCCGAAGAGTACAACGACGCTCAAGGATGGGTTGTGGCCCATGAACGACGCAAGAAGGCAAACGACAAGAGAAACGCGGAACCAGCCACGAACGCGGGAGGTGCGTCCATAGAGGCGTATCGGAGAGTGAAGGATTTTTTGCATCGCCGGCCAGTGCCAAAAGAACCGCAACTACCAGAAGACGATTACAAGGTTGTAATACGCCCAGGAGGAGGTCTGGACTTGACGCGACAGAGTCTAGCGCTCATAAGAGACTGTGTTCTACGAGCGGCAAAAGTACAGCCTGACATCGCTGGGGAAGATACTCTCAGAATCAACATGCGACAAAATACCATGATCATGAGCACACCTAGTCTGGCCAATGCGAAAGAATACAGCAACATCAAGGAAATTATGATCAATGACAAGAGCTATGCTACAGCCGCTTATGTAACAGCACCAGAAAACACATCCAAAGGGGTTATCCACGGAATACCGAAGTATGATAATCAAGAAGACATA